AAGTAAAATAATTAAAATTTATAATCCTATTAGAAAAGATTCAAACATATTCAACTATATTTTTAAAAATATTAATATGTAGATGTATGTGTACATATATACATATATACCATATGCATACATATATACATATATATTAGTGGGGATCCCACAGGGCGGGGAGTGCACTCCCCGTCCCCGCTAATGAGGATAAAAATTTTTCCATCCCCGTCTCCATGGGGGGGGGGGGAAATCATCTCCCATCCCTACTCCATTCGAGGCAGATTCCCACGGGGATCAAGGAAATGGAGGAAATTGCCATCCCTAAATGTAAACCTAGTTTGCCAAAGATGCCAAGATCCCTCTGAATCCATATAACATGTTTTATTACGTTGTCAGCTCGCTCAAGCAATTTGGTTCGCTACTCCTTTGGGTATCTAAACAAATCTTTTGGGTTCTATTTCTATCTCCGATTGGACCAAAAGCCGGTTCGAAGGGGTCCCTGATAATCAAGAATTTAATAGAGAGCACAATGCCCTCAAAGCAGTGATCTATTGGCAGCTCTGGTTGGCCCGTAATGAATTTTTGTTTAACAATGTGTCTTAGGAGCCAGGAAATGTTCTATCAAGGAGTATTGCGCTCTGAAAATAAACCCAAGAGCTGAAGACCAACCTTAGTTCTTCTACAAGAGGGTCAAAGCAAGCCGCAAGTACCTGGATACCTCCTCAACATGGCAATATTAAAGTCGATTGTGATGCCTCCTATATCCCCTCGTTAAATCTTGCAGGTCTAGGGGTGGTATTCCAAGATGAGAAAGGTGCTCTCTTAAAAGCTGTGGGACATAAGGTAAGTTACCTCTCAATTGAAGATGTAGAGAACAAGGCTTTGAGGCTAAAAGATGGGGAGATACCAGTTTTGTAGTGGAGCCCGATGAAGTGGGGGTTCGGCACGTCATTAATTGGAACCTTTATGTGAGATCATTTAACAGAGTCATTGTTGAAGATATATGTAAGCTTCTTGGTCATGAGCCTAGACTTGATTGGCGATTCTCTTACATTACTAGAATTGCCAACAGGATAGCAGATACTGTTGCAACTTGCAAAGAAGGTTTTACAAAACTCCTCTTTTGTTTGTAACTGGTCTTCATGGCTATTAAGGGGGCGTTCTTTTTTTTGGATTTGAGAGGGAGAAAGTAGGTCAATGGGATTTTGGTTCCCATTGACCAAGAATCCCATGTTCTTTTTTCAAATTTATGTGGGGACCAGAGAAAGTTTATTTTCCCGGGTAAGTGATACCCATCTCCTATGTGGGTAAATAACTTTCCCACCTAGGGGGAAAGTTGCCAACACTTGAATTGGACAAAAATGCCCTTTTTAATAATGGAATTTTATGGCTAAAATGGTCATTGCATTAGGAAAAACTTACCCAGGTAACTGCATTTACCCGGGTAAGTAACTAAAAAGTGAACGTGGCCTAAGTGTTTCAGATTCTGATGTACTACCACTTGAATTTCATCCTCCTTGAGTATCATTTTTAATACAATCTACTTTATTACAAGAAAAACGAATACAAAGCCCTTAGATTTGCTATTTCCCCTTATCTTCTTTGTAGTAAAGTTTATAAACAAAGCGGTTTTTTCTTTTCAGTTTGGATTTGTTGAAAAGGAAGCAGTAAAGCTTTCCATGTATTAGTTTGAAATGTTTGATTCAAAATGTAGATTTTTTTTGGGTTATAAATTGTAAATTATAATTATACAACAATACAATGTAAATGTATACAACATCCTCTCTTTTGAGAGATATGACTACTATGTCTTTCATTTTTTACAATTTGGTTGTTCTTTATCTAGCATCTTTGGTTATCTTTATTTTGTTCACTTTAGCTCCTTTGCCTATATATGTGGGTGTCCAAAGAGAGAAACCCCTTTTAAGTAGGGGTATCAATTGGACCGGATTTGGTCCAATCCAATCAATCTAATGAGTCCATTGTAGATGGATCAATTTCAATCCAATCCGATGGATACTGTAGACCATTTTAGACCAGTTCAATTTAATGTTTGGGCTGTTCAATCTGTTCAGATTGGCTTTAATTTAGATTGGTTCCAATCCAAACTTGTTTCAATGACACATGTATTCTTATCTTTTATCAATAGAATATTGGATTTTTTATTTAATTCGACCCATTCCAATATAAATCCATTATGGATGGACCAATTAAGTCAAGATTGATCCAATTATAATTAGGGCCAGTCCAATTCAATATGTCTTATTGGTCCACCCAATTCATTCAAATTGGTTTTGATTTGGACAAGGTTCAACCCAAAAATGGTCCGTTGATAACCCTTTTAACTGCCTTACTATTGGACCAGACATGAGTTCACTCCAGTTCATACACGTGTATGATTGTAGGAGGGGAATAAAGTGTGTTTCCATTTCTTTTTCATTTCCTTTATTCTTTTTTTTTTTTTGGAAATTTCATTTCCTTTTTTCCATACATATGAATGTCATGATGTTTAACTGAAGTGAGAAATCAATTGAAATTGATGAACCACGGGACCAACTATCATGCATGCCCACTAGGAAAGAAAATGCTAAAGAATTCATATTTTTTTTTTTCCACTTGAGTAGGTTTTTTCATCAATGCACAGAAAAAGGGACAATACGTGAGAGTCATTTTGATCAATAGGGTGCATGTTGTTTTGCCACTTTTATTTTATTTTTCATGTGGATGCCCTAATTAATTTCTTGAGTGGCACCCAACACTCCACTAAAGTTTCACCACCACAGGCTGTCAAGGTTTGATTGGACTCCAACATTGACGGAGGACCTTGTTTCTTGTTCATGATTAAAGTTTTGGTCTCAACCTTGCCATGGACCAGCGTTTGATATGGCCTATGGGCTATGGCTATGGGATGAATCTCATCGATTGATGATACAAGGAAGCACTCATATAGCCATATGAGCAATTGAGAACTCCCACTACCGAAGTATCAATCCTCTATCCTGTTGATCATGTTTCAATCCTCTATCGATTATATCGAAAATATATGATATCTGAAAATTTTTTCATCACTTAATTAATAAGCATGGTAGCCAATCAGATGTATTTTCTGCATGATATCTGAAAATATATGATCAAAATTCATCTGTATTTTCTGCATCATAGATTTTTTCTTTTCTTTTTGAAAATTTTAAAATAAAATAGTAATATGATGATTTAATTCGGCAAATCTTACTAATTGTGATGTTTGGTCATGTTCTTGGGAATTGGCATCGCCAAATTTGGAAAGTGAGAGTTTTTGACCAAATTTAATAGACACTTGAGAATTTTCATTTCATTTCCAAATAATTAAGGTAAATGAACGAAATTCAATTTCAGTCTATGAGTCAATTTCGCTCCATGAAGGATGCAAATAACCAGTTGCCCTTCCCCCATTGTCCAGAGATGAACAATTTAGGCTCAAACATCAGACCGAAATGAGAGCTTAGGCCACTAGGGTAATAAGAAGACAGTTTCACCGTTTGATGAAAAAATCAAACCCCAACCAATTGATGTCAGGAGCAATTGGCAATTGCCGATGGGGTAGGGATTTGCTACCAATAAGACACTGCCAATCCTGTCCCAACATGCCACTGCAGCCCCACATAGGGAATATCTCCCTTGTTGATGAACCAGAAGTTAAGATGGTAACTTGGGTCTCTTTGAATATATAGGCATGAGATCAAACCTGTGTAACTATAATTGTAGACTGTCATCACCTCACCTCATATGCACTCTTCTCCTAACAAAAGTTATCCCATAACGCTTTCAATATGGTCTGTTTCCGCACATCTCACTATTAGACTGGAACTTTGAGACGGGCCTTGTTAAAGGCATTTAGTTTTGCTCCCAACAAACACTGTAATAATATCCTAGCTATCAAACCATTACAATTGTACATAGAAAATATGTCACCATGAATGATAAGGGAGATGCTCTCAGTATAGGGTTACAAGTGACCTGTTGTGACAAAATTGAATGCGATTTATTGGTAGTAGATCTCTACACATGTGGCCATGTATGAGCTATGCATACACAAAAATGTGTTAAAGCGTGTTGGAACGATTTTAGTGTAGGAGGAGAATCGGATTCCAGTCCACCCAATCATGAACAGGGGATCTCTTCTCAACGGAAAATCATTCCAACATAGCCTATACACACACTCTGGACTCTCAAATCACTTATTCTAATTAGACCAGTTACTAAGAATTCGCATGGGCGCTCAACAGTATATCTCTACCGTGAATTAAGTAACATATCCCATCACAAGTACGAAAAATGTTCTGAATGAACGTTGAACGTTGAACGTTGAGATGTGCATGTGGAGCGCCAACGTGTATTCTGTAATAATATTCCTACAATACACCTACCGTATTACGAATCATTTACCTACCTTGGAAATATTTTAAAGATAGGGTGGAACTTTAAATAATTAAAAATTTCGAGGACCCAGACAGAAGGAAACTATAAAATGTAAAGTGAATCATTACACTCTGTAGGAGCACAACATCCTGATCGTTCATCTGATGTGACTCATCTGATCAGGCAGATGATTTTTTTGAAAGTGATCAGGTAGATGATTATCCAACAGGTTGCGTCTGTTGATGAATGGTATACAAGTGTCGAACATATATGCATCTGATTATCATGTCACAAGAAGCACAACATTACTTGCTCGTAAAGTGTACAACTACAAAGACAGAACTCGTTGTCAACTCGTAAAGTGTACAACAGGTTGCGTCTGTTCACGCCTTTTTTTCTACTTATATTCCATTTCCAGTCCCTCTTTGTTGATAACGTGCGCCGAGGCTATAAAATCTCCCCCAAGAGAAAATTGAAAAGTTACAAGGAGACTCACGCATTTCTACGACGAGCTCGAGAAGCGCCAATACTGTGGGCATTTTCGTCAATGCATCTGCAAGGAGGACAAAATATCAGGGATAATTTGGTCAATTCGGTGGCATCCCGTTCGCTAATTTTAATCTTTGAGAGGCCGTTTCAAGTCCCATTTTTCGTCGGTTTTCCGTTTGTTCACAAAAGAGGAGAGAGGACCTCCTTCGTCAATGGCGCGTCTGCCCTAAACATTCCTGCGACTAATCGGAATCTCCCTACGTTTCTCCGTAACCGAATTCCAAACCGAAATCGAAAACTGCTAGGAGAGGAATCACGGAACATTTTGGCGCGATCTCTTCTGTTTCATCTCGATTCATTTGTCTTCGGTTCTAGGGTAAGTTCTGTTTCTTTAATGGTCGGATAAATCTGCATGGAGAAATGCTCTCTTCGATTTTGTTGTTTGTTCGACTTCTTTCTGCGAGGTTGTTTGGTGAACCTCTGGTTTGAATTTGAAATGGATCTGGTAGGGTGGACAGTAGGGAGAAGAAGACATGGCTCATAAGGTTGATCACGAGTACGATTATCTTTTCAAGATCGTCTTGATAGGCGATTCTGGTGTCGGGAAATCCAACATCCTTTCCAGGTTTACTAGGAACGAATTCTGCTTGGAGTCTAAATCGACAATTGGAGTTGAATTCGCGACCAGGACTCTACAGGTGAGTTAATGCTCTGATCTACGGTTTCCTTTTACTTCTCTTATTCCGTCCTCTCTTTTTTTTCTTTAATTTTTATTCTATTCGGTGGTTTTCCAATCATCTGTTTCGGTTTTCGTACATGCCAAATGAATGCACTTAAATTAATTACTATGATCGATTTCTTCTAGACTTAATTTGTCATTCAAAAACATTTCAAATCATCATCCTCTGCATATCCATCTTTAGCTTCTTTTTAAATAAAATACTATAAAATATTTATTGTATTCATTTAGTAATCCATTATTCGACTGATGGCTCGATTGTTTGGAAATCTGGAGACCACCCTCCCCGGCTCACTGTAGATGTATAGTGTGGTTTTCGACCCCTGTTCCTTAGGTTAAAGCTAAAAACTGGAATGTATATCTGCCAAAACTTTTGATTAAATTTTAAAGAGGGGAATTTTGAACAAAGTGTACAAGCTAGAAAAAAGGCATTTGAACGAGCAGTACTTAAAAACAGCCCCGAGTTTGTTATGAAACGGTGAAAAGAGAAAGAAGTATTAACATCAGAAAACTGTTAACATCGATACGGAGCCAAAACATGGATTCTTCTTTGTACTGCAATTGTATTTTTTTTATGCAAAAGAAAGGGACGCAGATGCAGATAGACTCACAAACAAAATTTTCTGTTTGGAAGGGATCTTATTGTCCTTTGTACAGGATGCCAGTTGTATGATGCACGGAACCAACCTTACAAGATATCTCATTCTTTTGGATGGTCCAAATAGTGAGAGAAACTTTTAGTGATTCTATCATTGATTAAATTTTAGATCATCCAAATTTTTGTGATTCCAGAAGGCCAATCTAACTGGTTGCCAATCATTTCCTACCGTCAACTGTGAGACGAAAGGTCTAATGGCAATGCTGCATTGTTGCATAGGTATGGACATGGGAGTTAAGACTTGAGGAGTCGTGCAAACAAAGTATTTTCTATTAAATGGTTAATTTCTTTTGAATTTTAACATTACCTATGGAAAAAACATAATATACTAAAATTAGACGTCTTTTTTTATCTAGGAATGCACTATAGACTCAGTTTGGAAGGAATACGAATACGAATATGTAGATTGCAAAACCTTGTATTTTGTATGTATTCGTACTGTATATATTTGTATTTGTATTCCTTCCAAACTGAGCCATAGGAAAGGATGGATTTTATAATTTAGCTAAATGTTTATTTATGTTAAAGATTCAAGGAAATAAATCTGAAAAATAAAGAAAAGCAAAGTCATTAATAGAAATATCCCTCAGGAATTCATATGTGGCAAAACTGGATGCATGTCTAACATGGATTTGTTCATTTAAGAAAGTCCACACAATCCTGTTTAATTTGTAGTGGGAGTAACTACTCTTTCCATGATGAAACAGAGCCCAACCATATAAATTTTCATAATAGTAATTCTAGTAAACAATAAGTTTATGCAACTTTTGGATGCCATGCTTTATAGACATGATAGGATCCATGAAAAGACACTAAAAGACAAAAGTAGGACAGGTCCCACCTTGTCTGAAGGGCAAGGTGTCCAAGATTTGCATAAACTTTTTTACTAGTGCACTCCTCTTCTTATAAACTCTGGGAACCTTTGATAACTAACAAAAGAGGTTCTTCATTGATTTTGGCATTGAAATCAAGCTATCAACCATTGGCATTGTTTTTCACTGGATTTCATTCTTCATTTCTTTTTCATTTTGAACAAATAAAGGCTGGACCTTTTAAATTAATTTTAGTATTAAATGCTTTATTTTGATAGAAGCACCATTATGTGGTCTGCAATGTGGAATCTTAAATGGTTTCTGATGATGGATCTATGATTTACATTTGGGATCTGCTTAACATAATGTATACAATAGCCTTTTTATTCCATTTCTTTTCTTCCTTGTTTGGTTTTATTTTGTGCATTATGTCTATTATGTGGAAGAAAACTCTGGGAGTCTCTGTATGCCATTATATATGACATATATCAAGGGTATTCTGTTCTCTTGCCCAAGACTTTCAATTTACAGCCAGAGGGGTTTGTTTTGTCTTACATATGGATGATAGGGCAGATTCAATCTCTCTGTGTGATGTGAGGTACTATGGTTCAGTTTTGTTTTTCTGTACCCTTGCCGGGAAACTTATTTCACTTCAGAATGCATGAATAATAGCCCAACTTTTTATCAAATATTTTGTGATAAACAAGGGTGAGAAAATGAATCCTTTTTCCACATGGTTCATGGTTGGGCACTTGATGGGCCTATTTGGGCTGCCACCTTAACCTCCTCATGCTAAAAATGTGTGGATTGAATTTTTATTGTACAACTTTTTACTGAAAAGGAAAAAAGAATTTTTATTGTACACTGACTGTTGGGGTTAGGGAGTAAAACATAGCAGAACTCATTTAGTCCACCAATTTCTGTATGTTATAGGTATTCCACATGTAAAATATAACCTCCTCATGCTAAAATTGTGTGGATTGAATTTTTAATGTACAATTTTTTACCAAAAAAGAAAAAAGAATTTTTATTGTACACTGACTGTTGGGGTTAGGGATTAAAATATAGCAGAACTCATTTAGAGTCCACCAATTTCTGTATGTTATAGGTATTCCACATGTATCTGAAAGAAGAAAACTGGCACTATTCATTTTAGACAAACTCATGGCACATATACATGTGGAGGTTGGGGGGCCCAACATTATATTCTCCTAGTTGGAAAAAAATCCTAATTTGGTAATTGGTAATTCTGATACATACATTCTTTTGGAATGTTAGAAACTGTTCAGAGAGTAGCTGAAGCCATAGAGTAGAGTAGATTGTGACCATCCTGTGTTAGGTTTTATATTTATTTTGCTAGATCTAGCTTGGGGTCTATTGACTGGTGCCATTGTAATATGTTGTATAAACCATGTATATGAATCAGTATCATGGAAGTCACGCATTCTTCCTTTTTATTGTTTTTGTATTTGTAATTTTGTATATGAACACATCAAACTTGAAAACAAACATGGGTTTCTCACATGTAGAGCTCAATTACTTACTGGTAGGGTTGAATTGCTCAACTAATCTCCCAATTACAGATTATTCGTGTGTATCGTTAGCCAGCACTTAAAGACTAATGCAACAAGTCATTTGGTTTTCTGAAATAGGTTGATGGAAAGACGGTGAAGGCACAGATATGGGACACTGCTGGTCAAGAGAGGTACCGAGCCATCACCAGTGCTTACTACAGGGGAGCTGTTGGTGCACTCTTGGTCTATGACATAACAAAGAGGCAAACATTTGACAATGTTCAGAGGTGGCTCCGTGAACTTCGGGATCATGCAGACTCCAACATTGTCATCATGATGGCTGGAAACAAGGCTGACCTAAACCACCTAAGAGCTGTTCCAGAGGAGGATGCCCAGGTTTTGGCTGAGAAGGAAGGACTCTCATTTCTTGAGACATCGGCATTGGAAGCATTAAATGTTGAGAAGGCATTCCAGACCATTTTAACAGAAATTTACCACATCATAAGCAAGAAGGCACTGGCAGCCCAGGAGGCAGCCTCTGCAACTGGTTACCCTGGTCAAGGAACCACCATCAATGTTGCTGATACATCAGGGAATTTGACCAAGAAAAACTGTTGTTCTGCTTGATGTGGCATTCTTCTAAGAGAGAAATGGAAAGGCATGCACAGATCATTCTTTCTTTGGTGCAAAGGTCATGTAGAATATTTTCAACGTCTTTGGGAGAGATATTACTTATATAGGCTGTGAGGACCAGATTTTTTAACAATCAGAAGCCTGTGAAATGAATATTGACAGTGTTAGCAGTTGAGGAGGTTGTGCTTTTCCTTTCTGCTCCATTTCTTCTTTATTTTTGATGTGGCACTGACTGGGAAGAAAAGTGATCTGGGGCTGAGTTTCTCATCAGGAGGAGGAAATGGATGAGGAGAGAAACATTGTAAGTTTAGTGTCTTCTGTTTCATGAGTTCTTCCTAACTTGTAATAAAAGTTTCTGTCAGTTTCTTGACACATGAACGGGCGTTTTGCTGTTTTCCCCCTCTGAATCCAAACTTAATTTGCTTGTCATTGGTGCAGTATTCTGACCGCTTATATGCCAAAAAGTTTTATTTATACGGTCGGACTTCGGAGAATTATGATCACCCAAAGTGGGAATGCATGTTTTGCTTTATTTGGAATCTATAGAAAGTACAACTCTTATTTATTGAAAACGGAATCACGAGTGAATAGAACAGTAAAACAAACAAAAACAAATAACTTTTCTTCAAATTTTTTTCCTATTGCAGCTTTGTGCGGTGCAACTGCAAGTCTGCATCACAACAGGTTTTTTACTTGTTTAGTACTTTCATCTTGTTCAGTTTATAAATGACACTCATCTATATATATATAAAAACTGGTCCTGCCATGTCAGCATGTCTCTTCTTTGAAAGAAACTATTTATTTATTTTCTCTTTTTTTTGAATTTTTTATTTTTTTAATTTCATGTCATTTTTTAAACAATCAATGAGAAGCACTTTCTCAATAATCTAAATAATCTCTTCTCCTAAAATTACTCCTAAACTACCTCTCCCACTATCCCCATTTTTTCCAAAATTATCTCTAATTCCTATTTATCTTCTAAATTATTGATAATTCCTATTTATCTCCAAAGTTATATCTAATTTAGTTAGAGAGTTTCTCTTCTAAATTATCTCTAATTCCTATTTATCCTCTCGCCTACTTTTTATCTATATCTATCTAAAGAAAGTTTGGATTAAAAAAAATTAAGAATTATTTAAATATTCTAACAAAAGTATAAAATAACTTTAAAATATTTATTAAAAACACAAAAAATAATTTTTATTTTTACAAAATATATCACAAAATTATGAAATAATAATTTAAATTATGTTTTTTTTTTAAATTACCAATTTAAATATTTAATAATATGTAATAGCTTTAAATAAAGAAAATTCAAATAACAAAAAATTTTAAATATTTTATATATTATTCAAATATTTAAATAACTAAATATTAATCATAACTAGATCTTAAATAGTTAAAATAACGAAATTATGTAATAAATTTAAAAAATTTCTTCAAACTAGAAAAATAATTATAGCATAATATTTAAATTAATAATAATTTAATATGTTATAAATTTAATAATGAAATTATGTAATTATAGTATAAATTATGATTTTATGGAAACTTAAATTCAATAAACAATTAATAAATTAAAATTTAAATACTTTACATATTATTTAAGTATTTAAATAACTAAATATTTTAAATAACAGAATATTTAACATAACTAGATTTTGAATAGTTAAAATAAACAAATTATGTAATAAATTTAAAAAAAATCTAAAAAGTAGAAAAATAAATATAACATAATATTGAAATTAATAATAATTTAATATTTTTACATGACATTGTAAATAATTAATTTCACTTATATAATTGTATATACAAAAATTAATATTTATTGTCTTTTGTGATTAATGTATTTTCAATAAGTATGTATAAATATATTTTGTTAAGTTATTTAATAGAAAACTTTCAATAATTATTGGAGATTAAATTACTATTATTGAAATTTTTAAATTTAATTTATTGTATTTATTGTGTTTTTGTTATAAGTTATTGATTAATATTTAGTAGAGATTAAACTATTATTTGAGATTATACTATTTATTGACTAAGTTAATATATTTTTAGTACTCGTTGTATCTTTGTAATTTCTGTAATTATTATAGTTTACATTATCAATATATTTTCAATAATTGTGTATTTTTTCTATAAATTTTCAATAATTATGGGAGATTAAACTATTGTTATTTATTAGAGATAAGATTATTAATTTAGCAGAAATTATGAGTGTTTATGAGTTGGTTTGGTGCGGTCATAGGCTATTTGGCCAACCAAATTGACTTGGTCGGGTTAGGGAGTTGGTTAGCTGAAACCAATTAACCTTTTGTGAAAATCGACCCACTCAAGTTGTATTGGTTTGGGCCGATTTTTTGGTTTTGTTAGTCTGTTCAAAAGATTTAAACTTAAAAATTTAATTTAATTTTGAAAATTACAATGCAATTATTAAATAATAAATTTAAAAATTAGATTTATGACATAAAACATTTTAGACTAAGAAATATGGGAAAATTCCCACTTTTTCATATTAAAAAATATATTTAAAATATAAAATATTAATATATATCCATGGTTAGGTCATTCGATTTTGGTCGGTTTACAAATGGCTAAAGTGGAACTGATCCAACTTGGTCGAATTGGGAGATTTTTGAACCAAGGCCAACCTAAAATACTACAAAACCGACCAACTCGGGTCGAGTTAATTGGGTTGGTTGGTTTCATCAGTTTGATAAATAAACCTAATTGAAATTAATTATTGTTATTTTTGTATTATAAAAATTTTATTAAAAGTAGTATATAAAATATGAATAATTATTAATTACTTAAAAAGTTAAAAATGTAAAACAATTGTATATTCTTATGTGTTTTTATTATGGTCATTTATTAGAACACACTTTTAGGGATGGTTAGGGCTGTTCATAAGAAGGCCCAACCCGACCAAACCGATCAACCCGGACCGACCCAACCCGAGTCGACCAAGTTTTCATCAGCACCGGTCGGTTTCGGGTTGTACAAATTCATAAACCAATGGTTCAGGTCGGTTTTCGGTTTTCTTGTGTGAAAACTGAAACCGACCTGACCCGAACCGACTTAGTTCCTACTTAACTAAGTTGTCTCTATCCTAATTCCTAATTACAACTTAACCTAGTCTTCTAGTTAGGAATAACATTAATGGCAAATATTGTAAGACAACTAGACAAGAATTTTTTTTGAAAAGTTTAAAGAAAAGAATCAAATGATCCTAGTTTCTATAGTCTTTTACACCAAATAGGCAACCAATTAGGCAATTAGAATTAGGTGTCATTTTTTACTTAGATTAGAACTTAGAAAGTTTCTTAAAATATACAAATTTCCGTCTTCTTTCTGTAATACAGTTTGACTTTCTATTTTCTTGATATCTTTTGTCTTCTATTTTAATTCTAACTTAGAGCCTAAACCGACCCAAACCGACCCAACCTGAATCAAACCGACTAGGTCAGTTTTGCTTGACACTGGGTCGGTTTCGGTTTCCATCTCAAGTAACCCGACCAGGTCGGATCGGTTAGAAAAACCTTAGTAAACCGACCCAACTCGACTCGTGAACAGCTATAGGGATGACAATTTTCCCCATCCCCGACCCAATGGGGCTGTAGATGGGGATTGTTTTGATGGGGCGGGGGCAGGGATGATGATTAATAAGAATCTCCGATCGTGGTCAGGGTTGGGGATGGGGATTGAGGTCCCTATATGTGTGTGTGTATCAAAACATTATTTATAATTTAAATTTTTTATTTATTTTAAAAAATACTATTTTCTAAAAACATTTTGGGGATTCGGGTCCCCACGGTGACCCCATCCCCATCAGGGATTGGAGATGGGGGTTAATTTTAGAATCAAGGTTGGGGCCTTAGGCCCATGATTTTTTATTCCAAAAATACCCCTAACACTTTTTTTTTTGTATAAAAAACAAAATTGAACAAATATAGCCAATAGAGTGGTTGCCCATGTCTTATTAAGGGAAAAATGTTATTTTTATTTTTATTTTATTTTGATTAATTTAATTAAATGAACATTAGCGTCAACACTGTTATTTTCCACTATCATCTAATGAAAGATTGATTAAATGCGTTGCAAAATATGAGTAGTGGTTTTAGTAAAATATTAACTGTAGGGTAGATTTTGATAAACCCCTTTTTATTATTTATCCTTCTCTTAATAAATCTCGTGCATAATCGCACAAGTCCCCGCATGGTCCAAACATGGAAATCATCCTCCGATACATCTAAGACCTGTTTCCATCATTGTGGAGCCCTAATTCCATCTTGCGGTTCTCACGAATAATGCGAATAATGCGTAGTATGCTTTTAAATCCTGCCTACGGAAGTTCACATTAAATGAAATAAAACGGCCTAAAGTACGGACCAGATATTCTTGAAACACAACTTGGCTATGTTTGGTTTGAACGTAAATATAGGAAAACCTATACAACGTTCTTGAATGTTTTCCAACATTTTCCCTTCTTATTTCCTATTTTTTTCCTTCAAACCAGACTCAGTAAAAGAACTTTTGTGTTTTTCTTTTATTCTTTATCAAACCAAACACAGCCTTGATTAACTTGTGAATGTGGGTACGTTCCTTTAAAGTGTTGGTTGTTGTTCTTCTGTTGTGAAGTTTGAAATTTCTCCTCTCCAGTTTCTGAGTTCTTATCGTCCTTCCGATGGTCTTTGATCTTTGCCCCCAGAAGCATGATGAGTGTGTCGTGACCAAGCAACATGGCGATGACAATAGTTTCCCATACACCTACTACTACATATACTAGCGACTGAGGTAGAAACATAGAAAGAAAGTGGCATGGTGATTGATAGGGTGTGTTAATAGTGAGTTTATATACTTTATACATACAGTAGATGAAAGATGATGTATTCGTAGTCCTTTTTTTTACACTAACCACAATTTATATGTTACCATGAACGGAGCTTGGCTGCTTCATCAATTACTGGATCCCAAAGTATCTATCCTACTATACATGACGCTTCAAAGAGATAAACCTATATGTAGAATAGTGGATTAAATATGTGAATTTCTTTTGGAAATATAGAATTCCGATACGAAGAAGGTTTTCATGATTGATGTCTCCGATCTCCGATCCCATCCCATCCCAAAGAGTTCAGGTAAGAGGCTGCATGCTATTTTTTGCAAGTAGAGAGAATTAGGAGAGGCGAAGGGGAGCTTCATAGCATGAGAGATAAAGAATGGTGTCTGGTGACTTTATTTACCTGTAATCCATGAGGATGACATCTCTTTTTTTAGAGCCAAGTTGCAGATGGAAGACTGTTCACTTGTAAAGACAAAAACCAGAAGGCAAGAAACATGCATTATATTCAACAAAAGTGCAGAACGAATGAATATTCACACCCAACATGTGTAAAGCAGGCAGCACTGGTACTAACGGGACGAAGAA